GGAAGAAATCGAATAGCGTTTTCTTTTCTTGAAAAAATGCTACACTTATTCTGCTCTGTGTTAGCGCAGTCAAATTTTTATGTTCTGTTCTCAGCCCTTTCACAGGTCGTCGTGTTCTTTACTCAGCCGGTTCAGCTCTGCACCGGCAAAAATGCTGCCTTTTATGCCCTCAAATAAACGTGAGGGTGAGATTTGCTCGGTTGATATTTAATTTACGCTTTTAAAAATAAATTTATTTTCCGTATCAGAAATAAGTGTTTTCCTATGAAATTAATTAAAGACTAACTATACATGAACTTGTGATGGAGTATCATATTTTCTGTTTTATTCTCGCCAAGAGAAATGGCAAAGCAAGAGTTTCCATTTAAAAGGGCAAAACATTTTTTTGAGAAAAGAAAACCAAACCTGTGCATCAAACACATATACATATTTACATGTGCAAAGCTTAACTAAACAATTTCCGCTTCAAGTATGAAAATTGAATTTTAGAGGTTAGAAAGAAAAATTTGTGTTACGTAAAGAAATCTTGCTGGCGCATGGAAATCGAAGTGAAAAGAGAGTGTGTGCATATGACATCAGTTGAAAAGTTGAAATGCGTAAAACGTTCAACGCCTATGGTAATTTTAAAGTAGTCTAGATAAGGAATGCTTTTTTATGTACATATGTACATAGTAGCGAATGCATATATATATATATATATATATATACATATATTTAAACATATGCACGTATAGACCCTGTAAGAACTTTTCACTTTCCTGCGACTATTATGGACTTAGAAAATTTGCATATTACTGAATAGAAAAGGTTACAACTAGGGCTGCAAAATCTTCCACAAAGCACTTGGAAAAAACTTGTACCGGTCCACAAACCGGTTTGTGGGTACCTCACTTTAAGTTAAAATTTGTGCCAATATTCGAAAAAATTTACTCTCGATTTTATACGCTTTTGAAATTTACGAAAAGGTAATTTTCACGCCTTTAGGTTGGAGTATCTCAAACACCATGCATGCTGGAGTACTTCGGTATTTAGCGTAAAAAAATGCAGAAGGGGTTAGTTTCTGGGTTTGGGATTTTCCAAAATTTTTTCCACCTATTTATTCAATTTGTATCCCTAATTGACGAAGTTAACTCAGAAGGCAATATTATTTAAGTGGTTTGTATTAAATTAAATAAATTATTTTCTAAATAAAATTTGTATCTAAATAAAATTTATTAAGAATTCAATGAGTCGTAAGTCTAGTTGAGTAGAAGATAAAAATTGCATAAATAGAATTTTGAATTGACGCTCAAAATCTTGCCTTAGAGTTGAAAATCCCATTTTTATAGGTTCTTAACTTCGTAGTCTCACGCAGTTCCCATGAAAACAATAAATTTAACCATTTCATTTTGAACCGCCTCGAACCATATTTTGTAGTGGTTTTCCGTTCGGTTTTGGTATTTCAAAATAAAAACGGTTCGGTTCGTCGTTTGGCTTAAAGTACTACGGCGGTTCGATTAAAAAACCGGTTCGGTTCAAAACCGGTTTGCTGCTCTAGTTCCAAATAAAATAGGCAGTTCGATCTTTTAGAAAACAATGCATTTTTACATGTTCTTGATTCTGGCATAATTTTTTTTTTTTTTTTAGAAAAATTCGACTTATGAACTTTTCACTCTAAGCTAGGCAAATTTCGTTTTAAAAAGTAAAATAGGCGAGAAGTAACTAGTACTTAACCACAAATTTGATTCACTAGTTCGCGTTTACCCTGCAGTGCAGTTACAACGACCGCAAAATACGCTTTTTTGTCTTTGTGGTTGGGATGGCAATAGTGCTAGCGATGTAGACGACTGATAAACAATGAAGATGTGGGTCAACAAGAGAGTTTAGCAGAAGGAAGAAATAAATTTCAACGAAAGAAACTGCTTAGTAGGTAAGCACGAGTGTGGTAATGGTTAGCTTCTAACATTTTTTAAGCTTCAAAAGTAGCTGTAAAGGCAAACAATTATTCAATATTCGTTCAAAGAAACGACTTTAATAAAACTGTGTGATGGTGTATGATAATTATACTTCCTTCTATTGCACAATCATATTTGTTACCAATACATCCACTCTTTCGTTACTTATTTTTTGCATACCAAAGTGTGTGAATAAAAACCATTTCTAGATTCAATTTATTTACCTCTTTTTTCGCACTAACACCCACCCATTCAATCAATTACGTTTTCTACCACTTGTTAGCCGGCTGTTCGAATCATCCATTTCCTTTTTATTCTTTTTTTGTCTTATCTCTGTTTTCGCACTCTTCTTTTATTTACTTCTTCTCGTTTCCATCGTACATTTATAAATGGCCTAAATGTGTGCCATCAGCTATGCGGGAGTATAGTTGCGTAGAAAAAGAAAATCACTTTCACTGCTGCTGTGGCGCCTTGGACTATGAAGCTACTTACTTACACCCATAGCTGTAGGGCTACTTTCTTCTTGTAGATTGATTAGCCTACATTAAGGCGTAAATGAAAATGTATCGCCAAAGGCCAATAATCCTTCATGGAGTTGGCAGTGCTAATGCAGATGTAATAACTCTTTTATTTTCAATTACTTGTATGGTAAATGAATTGTCTTATGGGATTCGTTTTTTCTATTTAAGATTTTCATCAATGTATGTAGATAATCAAAGCGAAAAAAGTGGGAGAAACTTTATCTTTTTACAGTACTTCATTAAAAACGATTTATTTACCACAGAGGTATTGTTTTACAAAATAATCTCTTTAAATGTGTTTAGTATTTTTTCATCCAACCCACGATATGCACAATCAACCTAAGCAAAAGTCTATAAATGCATAGATAAGCGATTGTGTTTTCGATTAGATTTTCTTTAAAATTATTTTTTAGTAAAATGTCGCTTTTTTTAAGCACATACATGTATTTATGTATTTTATTTGTTGAAAAGCTAAAGCAATTTTAAAATCCACGACGATTTTAATTTAATCATTTCAAATTCATTTGGACAAGAAAGGGAATTATGGTAAGCTTTTTGTAAGAAAGCTTCTTTGAATTATTACTGAAACATGCGTTGCATATTTTAAGGCGGCTTTATGCGCGTCAGCTGGCAATCTCTGGTAAATTATAAATATATGTACATTAGGGTTGTCCAAAGGGAGTAAAGTCGGTATTTTAATGCTCTCTCTCACCACCTAGCATTGTTATATACGAAAAAAATATACCCTTCATTTTTATTTTGAAATCACAAAATATTTAGAGGTCGCTCAAAGCGCTCAAAGCTTCTATGTATATTAGATGGAGAAAAAATAACTTTATATAAAATTTTTGAAAATCAATATTTTTTGATCGGAAAACTTTCGTTTTCAGGAGACTTCTAATAATAATACCCAATTGTTTATCTATCCATTTTTTAATACCAAAGATTTTTTATTAGGCCCCCATTGCACTTTCTGGGGGCCTATAAAATATAGTTACAATGAAAAAATGTTAAATAAATAATTGGGTATTATTATTGGGAATATCCTGAAGAGAAACAGAGACATCTGATCGAAAAATACAAATTTTTAAGAGTTTTATAAACATTTATACAAAAAGTTGTTTTCCCCCATATAAAATACATGGAAACCTTTGAGCGATCTGTTGATTTCAAAATAAAAAATAGGGGTTTATTTTTTTCGGTGTAGAACAAGCCTAGGGGGTGAGAGCATAAAAATTCTGACTTAAATATTTAACGTGTGTTTTTGAGCCACCCAAATGTACATAAAAAAAGAAGTTCTCCTGCACGTGACTCCAAGCACGCCACATGACTTAATAAAGATCGCTCATCCATGAGAAGGGTTTCCTTGTATATTTACTCAATGAAAAGGCGTATAATTTCAAATTTTGTCCTTGCTTACTTAAGTACATATTTTCTTTTCGATTCATTTTAAACCTACTGCCTCTTTATTTTTAACACACAAAGATGCTTGGGTATAGCATTCTAGCATATTCCCTTACTTAATCGAATATTTGCCTTGACCAAAAATGTCTTTTGAAGATGAAATCGAATGATTTTTTTTTTACAAATTTTTGTTGGCTGCATAGCAAAATTCTTTTTCTCAACATGCAGCATTGGCAAATGAATACAAAATGACATGAATGTTTGGACAAATGTCCACTCAAAATCGTTCGCGTAAAAATTGAACTCTGAATTGGCACGAAAATCCACTCTTCTTTTTATTTCTAAAGAGTTTGTTAATTTCCGCCTTTTCTCTGCCTACTTTCCTTAAATTAACTTAAGCATTTTCTTCCTTTGATGGACCGTACGAGCGGCCTTATCTCTCTCTCTCTCTCTGAGTACGTTTGTAAGTGAAAGCACTTCTTTGTTATTTTCTATATTCTGGTCTATGGTATAACATTTATATATTCCATTTGTGGCTACAAAAACGATGCTTCGATGATGCTCATTTTCATTAATTCACTTTCTTTATTTTGTCCATACGACAATACCAGACCTCTTGTTGAATGTAAAAAAGGAATTTTCGGTGGAAATTATTGCAACAATAACAATGCTTAAGCACCCAAAAGCGTGTGCGCATTTCTTGTATGGCTTTTCTTGTCATATTTAAGCCAAATAAAGTGCAGAAATCATGAAGGCCATTAGGTATGTAAGAATAAATGATGTGTGCAATAAAAACCAGGAATAAATGTATGTAAACAACTGCGTGAAGTAATCCTAAGTAATCGTCAATTGTGTGACAAAAAGTTATGAATAATGATGTGTCATACTTTGAGCTAGGAGGAAATGATGTGCAAGGATTAAACTTCTGTTTCGTTTCAAATAAATTAAGGGCCTAAATGAATGAGTTGAAAAGTATCCAGAAATATGAATTTGTGCAAATATTGTATTGTAGTACACTTTCAAAAAAAAAAAAAAGGTATAATTTGAAATACTTCAATTCATTTTCGCTAATATTAGAAGCACTCGAATAATCCGCTTTCGGAAAATGTGGATCATTTTCTCTGTCTTCCACTTTACTTACCGCTTCAAATCCGGACTGGCTGTGTATGGTGCTGATACTTCTTTGATTTTCAATACGATTATTGCTGTTGTAAAAATGCACATAATATTTATAACCGTTAATAACGAAGATATAATGCCGTTGATAAAGAATTCTGTTGGCAGGTAATCGGTGTATAGAAATTTATATTGTGAAGTTTCATTCATTGCCTCTCCCTGCAAATGTGGTATACGGATGCCGGGATAGATAAGCCAAATGCAAGCCAATGCCCAGAAGAGACCCTAAAGAGGCAAACGAAAAATGTATAGTAAAAATATGTAGTCAAATGTAATTCTTCTAAACAGGATAAATGAGAAGAAGAATGGACTGACATTGGCTAAATTAAAAACTAAAATCTGTGCACATGCGATAAACAACAATGCGTAAAATTTATTAGAAAATTAGCTATTTACACAACAACAATGATAACAACACCATATTATACCATTAGAGTGCGTGTGAAACAATTAAATGACATTAGTAAACGAGACACAAGTAAAAGTTTTTTCGACTGAAAAGATGTTTATTTTATAGGATTATAGTGACAAGGTTTACATAAGTATCCACTTTGTATGGAAGAAAATGAGTAACACCGCCAATACATAACCGCTTGCAACATTGAACAATATTGTACTAAAATTGAGTGGGCTACAAAGCGGCATATCCGAATTTTTTCTTAAGATTCTAGGTAATTAGAAAGTTTGAAATGTTGCAAAATAGTTGATCGAAAGTTTTGGATGCCTCACTCTTACTTTTTTATTTATTTTTCTGTCCAAAAGTAATCGCGATTCTCTGATTACCGTCATACTTGATCGATGTATACAAATGTTATTTTTTCGACTAAATTTAATCGATATTTTCTTATTTGTATTAAAAAAAATCTTAGTTCTTAAATTTAACTACATTTTTCATAAAAAGAAGAGTTAGGGTAGTCCTTAAAAATGTCAAAATCTAAATTTTATATGGGGAAAACTTCAAAACTTTAAAGACGGGTGTTTGAAAAAATTTTAATTTTTTTAAATCACAAAATTTCGTCTAAATTTTGACTTAAAATCTGATCAGTTTAACATATTATTGAAACTTATTCATATAAATTCATAAACTCGCTGCGATATAGCTGGCCAAAGTCAAAATTACGTTGAATTTTTTGCGATTTATAAAAAAGAAAATTTCAAAGCCTTAATAGCAAATAGCTAAATAGCAAATACTGGGCGTGCTTAACTGTGTTTTAAAAGTATTTTTGTGTTGTTACTCCCTCTCAAAACTCTTAAGGCTTCACTCATACAAAATAAAATAGATTTGAAGAGCTTTTTAAAGTGCGATTTTCAAAAAAAAAAATTTACATACCTTATCTTATAATTTTAGTTGAATTAAATTTTAGAAATAGGTGGCAACTCTCCACAAAAATATTTCCGACAGTACATTTATTTTAACCTCTTTACTTTGATACCAGTATTGTAATATTTAATTTATTTTATCGATTTAGTAATACAATTTTTCAAACAGGTGGCAACCCTCTTCAAAAATATGTTTGGCAGTAATCTTTGCTAACCTCTTTAGTTTATACCCATATTGTAAAATGTAATTTATTCTATTGTAATTCTATTGTAATTAAATCAAATTAAAATTTTCAAACGGGTGGGAACCTACCACAAAAATATTTTCGGCTGTAAGCCTTCATAAACATCTTTATTTTGACAGTCATATGGCAATATGTATTTGCTTTATCTTATAAATTTACTTAAACTGCAATTTTCAAACAGGTGGCAACTCTGTCATTATTTTTTATCCTATGTTTTAAGTTAGACCATTGGCAATGCAACGATGAAAACCGCAATTGATTCCATGTGATGCGCATTCAAACATACATACAGACAGACAAAAATTCTAAAAATTGTTGACCTGGCTTCTGTTGCTCTAATAAAGTCCCCTCATATTAATTTTTCTTTAATATCTATAATGGAGGTGCTCAACAAATTTAAGTTACTGAGCCAAACGACAATTTATCCTTGGCTTTCGAATGCACACCTAATTCAATTTTTTTCTTTTCAATTTACTGAACAATCAGGTTAGGGAGGTTATCCAATAGATAGCTCATTTCTCACCATCAAAGTACAATCAGTCACTTTCGTAAAGTATTCATGCGAATATCAAATTTAGAAAATTTAATTTAAGCAAAAATCACTTATCAAATATGTAACGCATAAACGGTTATCTAGTCACAGTCTGCTCTGCGTAACTACTCTCTTTCTTTAAATATTAACAAAAAACCCCTTCACTCACTTCAATCTGCCACATGATAAATGATTATTCAACGACAAGCCAATAATTCAAATTTTCCATGTAATCCAACTAAAAGTAGATCAAAATGAAAAATGAGTCCAAGTGAGGCATGCGCGCCTCACTCAAGTTCATTGCGAACCAGACCGCCGCCGTCGTTGACGTCAGCTTTACTGCCAGCAGCAGCACACGCAATCAGCTGTGCGCGGAGAAAAGTGTCACACCCTACGCTTGTAAATTAACATAAAATTTATGTGGAATATTACTTCTTTGGTAAGTCACTATGCTAGCCCTTCGCTTAGCATTTACCCCCTTTGGCTTGTTTGCCACCATTCTTCCGCTGCTGGTTACCAGTGTCGCAAACTTGCTCATTTCAACGAGCCTGCAAACTCAGGCTGAGCCTCTTTAATATTATTGTTTTTATTGCGCTGAGCCGGCTGATGCGTTTTGTGAGTTTTCCAACAGATTTATGGCACTTGAAGTTTTTTGGCTAAACTTAGACTGCGTTTTAACTCATTCACTGATTCTAGGGCTCTACGTTATATCGTGTGCGTTTGTTCGTTCGTTCAGTCGCTACTTAGTTGCAGATTAATCAACAAATTGCATTAGCTGGTCTAATTTATGCCACCATGTACTGGAGGAAACTTAAATTTTCCTCCTACTGTTGCAATCTAGCTAAGCCAAAGTGAAACAAAATTTTATAATGGTTAATAAATTTAGGCAATTTGGAGTAAGTTTCTTGCCTGATTTATGTACTCCGTTGGTGATTTCTTAGCTTTTGAGGATTATTGTCGTCGGGGAATTAAATAAAAATTCAATTTGCAGATTTTCTTGCGTATTTTCTTTAGGTGGAATTATTAGACAAATTAGTGAAACCTAAACTATAGGCTTCTTGGCACATAGCTTTCACTTACTCTTCTCTTCAACTGTGCTGAAGGCGTCTAATAGCTCCTTAAGCACACCCGCATACAAGAATTTTTTTTTCAATCCACTTTATGGCAAAAAAAATAAAAATAATAGGCAGCGTACTCTCGTGCACCTCAAGCCTACTTAACAGATACCTACGTACATGCCCAGTGGGACAAGTAGTAATGCATTACATACGTTATAAATAATGTAATTTCTTACTAGTAAACCCCTTGCGCCAAACGCCCAAATTTAATTCAAGTTTTTTAATAGGTGGTAATTTAAAAATATTCCAAATAGTAGTCAGAGTTATAAGTCCGTCCTGCCGTGTCTGAGTGAAAGAGGTCTCGCATGGTGTCGATTTTTTCATTTCATCCGATTTTTAATCACCCTGTACCACTAAAAAAATCTACAGGCCAAGCTTTTTACTTTGACATCTCATTTTTGAAATTGGTAAGAACGGTGCAGATCTGATGACCTTCAAAGAAATACAATCACCTATTATATCTGTATATACATATAGTAAGATATATACATATATGAGGCTTAGAATAGGTAGAAACCCTAATCAAAAATATTTTCAAGCTAAATCTAGCTTAAAACTTCTTCGTTTGATATTTATTTTTAAATATTCCTATAACAAGTTAACTAAATTCGAATTTTAAAACCGTTGCCAATCTCTTTCAAAAGTATTTTAAAATCAAAATTTTCTTAAATCTTTTTGTCTAGCATTATGATAGATACTTCAATTAACCGATGAATTAAGTTAACGCTTAGAGATAAACCATTTTCAAACCCATTTTGATTGATACCCATCTTTTAGTAATTCATGGAACATGTATGTAAGCAATTAATTTGAATCTTTTCAAACGGGTGGCAACCCGCTTCAAACATCTCAAAAATATTCTAAGTACTCAAACTAAACTAAAGATTTCCTAACAATATTTTGTTTGCCACCCATACAATAATATTTCATACACCTGGTGTAAGTTGAAAAAAATCCACTTTTGAATTACGTGGCAACCCTTTTGAAAATATATTCAGACTGAAACTTTCTTAAACCCCTATCGTCTGACACAAATACATACTTAAATAACCCATTCCTCTAATTCACCTTAAACCTGATGTTTTAGACAGGTGGCAACCCTCCTTTAGAAATTAAGCCTTTTGATAACCATTTGGATTGATACAAATAACTTACATAACATACTTTTAATAATTAATTTAATTTATGAGCTAATTTGAATTTAACATTTTAAGTAGGTGGCAACCCTTTTTAAACACCACAAACTTTTTTCAAATGGGTGTTCAAATTAAAGCTCTTAACTCATTTTTGATTGACACCCATTTAATATTTCACATATCTATGCAACTTCTGCATAATTTAATTACTTTCGATTTTTTAAACAGGTGGCAACCCCCTTGCATGTAGTGAAAAAATAAAACCTTTTCAAAACCCATTTCGATTAATAACGATATTGCACTAATTGATTTAACGTTTTTAGTAATTGGCATTTAATTTTTTAAAAGATGGCAACACTTTTCGAAAAAAGTAAAACCTTGTTGCACATTTACAGTCTATGCTCTGTAATTTGTTAAATAATTTGAATGAAATTTTTTAGCAGTTGGCAACTCTTTTCAAAAAACCAAATCATTAGTACAGTCCAACTAATTTAATTTGACATTTCTTTTTTTCAAAATCGAACGAACCGTGCAGATCTGATGACCTCGAAAAAAACCATTTGCGTATTACATATATAGATTTAGATAGATGACTCTTTATAGCCAAAAAGTCCCAAAAATTTCACATTAAATCACATACATTTCTCGAATCAAGGTAATGCATTGTTGAATGCCCCACTTTTCTTAGGACATGCCGTGGAAAAAAAATGCATTTTCGAATGTGTTTTACTGATTATTTTTTCGATTACCATACATTACATTTTCCCACTGGGTAGTTATACTACATGCGTATGTATACGCTTAAGCGTGGCACGAAAATGTTTGTGCCACTTGCGCATGAAATCGACTGGCGACCGCTTGACCCAAAGACAAA